CATCTTTTCTCTTGTCAGCCAGATGGCTGGTGAGTAGGCTGCCAGGCTGCTTGGCTTCTGGTTTTCACAGAATCCCTGACTTCTTGCCTGATGGGCTGCCAAACAGCTGGAAAGCCAGGTCTCTAGGAGCTCCTATGCTTTTTGGCTTCTTGTGGTCTCCAAGCTCTCAAGCAGCTGCTTTGCATGGAACTTGGGACCTGAGGCTGCCCGATGAGGGAGATACGCGTTATGCTCAATATGGGCAATTTATGGCAGTCCATTCAGGATCTCTAGGGTAACATATCTATAGGAGGCCCAAAGTCCTCATGATAGTTGGTTCACTAAACTTCTAGGCAGCCTGTGTCAAGAATCATTGGATAGACTGGTTCTGCGTGCACCCTGGCAAGCACGGCAGCCACCTATGGATTGACCAAGTCAAGTCTAACTTGCTGGGCTTCCTAAATCTCCAAGGACCCTGGTGCTCTGGAAGACCTGAGGGGCAAGCCAAAAATTCCTTTTTGTCTCTCTTATAGTACTTTCTTGAAGTTTAGTTCATAACAAATGCTTAAAAGTTGGAAAGTCTACATCCAGATATCAAGGATTAAAAACTGCATAAAAATGGGATAAAATATAGAGAAGTAGGGTATGATTTATGTTAAAAATTATAATGTCTAGAGAAAACAAACAGGAAAATGGAAAGAGAGTAGTAAGAGCACTAAGTTTGAACTGCCAAGGTTTCTGTATAGAATTGCAAGAAGCATAGCAAGGAAAACAAAGAAACTGGAAAATGCTGTACATACTTAAGCAGGGAATTTGACATTACAGGCTTAACCAAAGAATGGTAAGTAAACAAAAATGTATTGGTACTACTTAAGTAAAATTTTTAAAATATAAAACAAATGAACAACAGTGTGCATTATAAGGCACGACTGATCTTTATACACTACAGTTATAAATTAGTAAAATGTGTAAACAAAGCATCTTAATTCATTTAAAACAGCAAATAATTTTATTTGTTAAATATCAGAATTTCCAAGTTCAACTACCTTTCTTTGTTACTTTCAGTAAAGAAACTTTCTCTGTGGTTTTATACATATGGTTACGTTAAAATTTCCATAACAAGTAAAATCTATATAGGAATCCTAAATAGCATGGGTCAGCAGCAGCATATTTTCCACCCACAGGTTAACTCAAGACTGTTGGCTCCAGTGGAAGTCAATTCCTCAGTATATAGTACTTTTGCAAGAATGAAGGCTACTTGACCTTCACACATAGCCATCTCATGACCCTTCCCTCTTAAACCTGGTTTAGTTTTGATTTTGGGTTTTTTTATGTCAGCATGGACATTCTCTTTCCCCGTATGTAGGAAATACACAGACAACTTTAGATGGCTGATCAGTCTTAATCACACCCATGAAATTCCACCACAGAGCTGAAAGGGATGCAATAACTTGGGGGGAAAAAAATCATGCTTTATCAGAAAAGTGTGAGATGTCATTTTACAAGTACATTTTAAGAAAATGGAATAACTTTCCCTCTCTCTTCCCTCAAATCCCCAGTATCAGACTGTTTACTTAAATTATTTTGACAGACTTTGTACGTAGCTGGCTTCCTGAAGTTCTTTAAGAAAGTCTTTATAGTTGTAGCTATAACAAAGGCTAAAACTGAAACATTGAAAGTTGAAAGCTGATACGCAAGTACAGACAAAGGACAGCGGAAGGGATGAGGCCTGACATTACCATTCTTATTCTAACGTTTCCACCCAAAACTCTACTAAATATGTGGACGGAAAATAACCTCTAGAACTTTTTTTCCCCCCCAAGACATACTATTTAAATGTTACTCTGTGAGGAAATAGGTATTTTCATACAAACTCAGTCTGGAAGTGTTCCTCTTATTGGCACAATGTCTTTGGATGAATTTTATAATAGCCCAAATTACATCTTCGTAGAGTTTCTCTAAATTTTTCTGTTTGGGCTGATGTACGTTGGGAGAACACTATAAATACTGTTTTTCAAAGAAGCATCATAACCAAATATTGCCGTTCCAACATCAACAGAGTTGAGTAGACTTTTCTTAGCCATTTTTCATAATCATTTGTGTTTCTTGGACAGCGCACTTACACTTTATCATTACCAATGTGCCTGCAGTAGTAACTTTTCCTTCTGGAAGTAAGGAACTAATTAAAAAGAATCTACTTCTATTAAGATAATTCGTTTGAATAAATTACATTCTTGTCTCTTTAAGTCTTATATTTTAAAGAAATGTATGAACTAATTTATCCAAAATCATGAGATATTTGTCTAAGACTCACAAGTAGCACTTACAGGTGCTGTGCAAATTTTCTCAGGAGAGTTCTACCACCCAAATCATACCACTGCCAGCCTACCTGTAAGATCTTCACTCTACAAGAAATTCTTCAGGCTAAAAATATTTAGAACTAATGCTGGCATGCAGAAGTGATAACAGATACCCAACCAATATTATGGCTGTCAGAGCTGTTAACAGTTTAGGTACTACAGTGTACAATTTATATCCTCTATTTAAAAAGTTTTAGATCTGACATGGACCAAATATCACTGACCTATATCATATTGCTGTAACAAACAATATCACTTAGCTGTATCATACTGATACAATTCTATCCTATCGGAAGTACTCTTGAACCAGCTACCATAATGTACCTGTCGACATGTGTAGTCTAGGGTTATGGGAACTTGGATTCTGCTCCCTTTGCAATTAACTTCCTGTCTAACAGCAGGAAAACTAGTTAGACCCAAAAGCTCAAGCTTGGCTAGCGCCTAAACATCTTGAGAATTCAAGTCTTGGCCTTTTGTGACTCTTATCCCCCTAATGGTAAAACAGAAATGGTAGACTTTCCAATCTTAAAGAGATTGTGGTGAGAGTAAGTGCGTGAGAGGTAATCATGTACTCACATACTATGACAATAACAGCCCTATCAGTATGATAGATTAGCGTCTAAGATTATATAAATATCATATAAAATAACCTTTGAGTTGTATTTACAGAAAATGTCTGTGCAGAAAAATGGATGCTGCACTACATTGTTATAAAAATTTGTTTCTGATACTATTAACAAGTTCTGTTTCACCTGTGAACCTCCACACTACAGAAGAGAACCACTACAGCTTCCACAAAAGAACACAAAAAGAAAACAAATCCAGATTCCAAGCTCACAGCTATTTGAAACATGGTTTGCAGTCCAAAGCACAGGCTTGGAAAAGCCAGAATGCACATAATCCTTTTAAAGTCATATACTTATTACTGCTTTTGAATCAAGCCCTGCATAAACCAAACTGTGCTTCTTAGAAGATCGTGTAAATTGTTGAATATTATTAACTTTGAATAAAAAAAATCAAAATTTTGTTTAGATAGAAATAGTTACTGTACTTCCACAGTGTGGCTATAATCAGTGCTTTATACATATTTCTTTCCATTCAGTGTCAGAGGAAAGCGTATTATTGGTAGGTTTGTTTCAGTGTGCCACTCTGCCTCAGTCTCACACAAAGAACTCTTTGTGGGGTCACAGATTAGCATTTGGGCAGGCAGCCAAGAGAGATGAAAGGAGGATGGCTACACTAAGGATGTACATAGCTTACACTCATCAAATACGCAGGGGAAAAAACCAAGAAAAAAATCCATGTAGTCTATTAGCTGTCCTCTATCCCCTTAGTTTCTGAAAAACTGCTTTTAGTGGAAGCTCTAGCAATGTGCAGTTCTACTTTGGCACTACAGGTTGCAGAGTCTTACACATAATAAGTATTACCTCAGTTCTGAGATAAAGTAATATTTTAACATTCAGTTATGGCAATATTGTTCAAGAGAGAGGCAGGTACAGTCATATCTTGACAGATGAGACATGTATACACCCCACCTTTAGGTAACAAAAAACTTTATTATACTACTGTGTATATGTTTAAAAAGAAGATGGAAAGATAATTCAGAATAACGAGCATGCTTGAAAAATGGCAAGCAAGCTGACATTGTAGAAATCATTGTGAAGAAATAGAAAATGCTGAAGTTATAAAAATCAAGACCAAATGTTCTCACAACACCTCCATCCATATATCTGTATCTACATCCATCCATCTATATAAATTAATAACAACCATACAGTGCACAGTTTCAGAAAGGAAACACTGCCTGCAAAGGATGCTAAGGATATCTAGCATTTTGAAGACATTTCCATTCTTTACATAGTCAGGATCTCAACTGATTTATTTGTGGCACAGTAGAGAGAAGATGCAAATGCTGCATTAAATATGGAGGTAAATAGAAACAGAAGATATTACTGTACAAGGATTAAGGATAAAAGTCTACTTAGTATTCCAGGAAACTTCTAATGGGAAACAAACCCTTCCCCATTTATTTTACCACAGGTCAGTGGTAAGAATTCACTGAAGATGACTTACAGCTTATACTTACCATTTTATCTCTATTTGGAAACTGACATGAAATAAATGAATAGCTCAGTCTTCTGTGCACAACTGACCTGCACAACAACCACTATTCACAACTGGCACTTTTTGTTGGCAGTCTGAGCAGAAAATCCACGGATTACATTGGCACCAAGTCTGAAATATGCTCTGAAACCAAATGATGGTCTCTTGAGAACATAACTGAAGTACCTCACAGTGGAGAACAACTACAACTACCTGTGCTATTCATAGCCTGTGAGTAGAAGCTTTCTGTTTTCAGCATTGTCAGATTTTCAGCATGCTTTATTTGGGAACAGTAAGTTTAGGTCCTGATAAGCTACTAAAATATATTTTCCAAATACAGTAAGCACTGTAAAGGCAAAACAGAATGCTATAATGAGTGCTAGATGGAGGACTATTCACTTTTGGAAAGTGAATACATCATCTTTTTTAAGCAGTTAACAGAATGAAATAAAGAGAGTGTAAGTAGCAAACAGCAAAGTATTGCTGGACATCATCCAAATATAAAAATTATATGTGAGCATATATATAACAAACCTATTACTTTAAGTACCTTCTTACCTTAGCATTTTTAATGCAAGGACAAATAGCCCAAGCTGCACTTGCTTGAACATCTGGATTAGGATTTTTCAACAATGACCATAACAAACGAACTCCATCTAGATGGTCAATTATCCTATTGCAGAAAAAAAAAAAAAAAAAAAAAAAAAAAAAAAAAAAAAAAAAAAAAAAAAAAAAAAGAAAAAGATATAATTAATTATGGAGTAGGAAATGTTACATTTTAAATTATATCAGTTTGTTTGGAACACTGCTTTAATAATGACTTTCTTTAGCATACTGTTTTGCTTTATGTAAGTGCTTGTGTTTTATTGTCAGCTAATTGCCATCAACATAGTCAGTAAACATTGCTTACTATAGCAGATGGGTGTGAATAAATGATGTAAAGACAGAATATGTTCTCTAACTAAATCTCATTAATGCTGTTTACTTTTTTCTCGGCACTGTCAAAATGCTTATAGAAGATAAAGTAAAGTAAGCTACATTATAACCAGAACTCATATAAACGTGAAAACAAGCATGTGACTTTTTAATGATCTGCATGCAAAGTGAAATCTGAATTCAAGCATACTGGCTTCTTTCATATAGTAACAAATACTTTCCAAAACAAATATTTATGCCCAAAACTATGTACTTAACTTTTTATTCAGTCTATGCTTAATGTATTTACCTTACTCTGTGACATATTTTAAAATACTATGTTTCTAATCTAGCATTAGAAATTAAAATGGTCACACCACAGTGCATCCTTTGTTGAGCATGAATAACGCGTAACTTGTTTCCCATGTGTTCCTTACCAACAAGACTAACACTGAACACTATGTTATAATTACTTAAACACACTGTAATCAAAGCATCTTCGTGACTAGCTGAAAAATGAATTATCATCAGAATCACCTCTACACCATCTGTGTTATGTTTACATATCAATCAGGCTAGGGGATCGTAACTTCACATTAGGGTCCAGTGAATACCTTAAACGGAAAGGAAGGTCAAACAAAACTTAATAGCCTTTACAAACATGCCTTTTTTCAAAAAGATATGTTAAACCCAAAGCAGATGAGCTGAAGATAAAGAAAAGCAAATATATCTTCATTTTCTAACCTCAAAAGTAAAAATTCAATTGTATAAAATTGATCTACATCTTTAATTGTAAATGCAAGAGAAAGTTAAATACAGATCATGCTTAAAAACATCACGTAAAACATGTCATCTGTGTTCACGATCCATAGGTTTGCCAGAAAATCTTTAAAATAATTATAAAATCAGCTTTGTATGTAATCCTACCATCATTTGAAGCAGAAAAAATAATTAAGGACATGGACTCTGTCTAAAATAACAAGGGATTTTATTCATAACGCTTTTATGCAAACTGGTTAAACAACTATGTTTTTCAAAATAATACTTTTTTGCACAAAGCTATGGTTGAGACATTATAAGTTATTTAAGATCTGTTAATTTACGACAGCTTATTTTACATACTCAGCTCCAAATCAATTGCAAGAAAATCATCATTCAAAGGACAAATTCAGAAATCTTAATGCATCAAAATAAAACAGCATGATCACAAACTACACAATCACATATATATGTTCAACATAGTAAGGATGACACAAGTGAAAGCTTCAAAACAAGGTCTTAAATCCCTCCAAACTCCCAATTTCTCAGCACCGCCAACTTCTCAGCAATTTTAACATTACTTTCCTGTCATTTCAGAAAGCACAAGGAATTTTTTCCTATATTGGAATTAATTAAAAAAGAACCCATGAATCTTTCTTCTAGTCAAGCAGAGTACTGACCATTTACCAACATGAGGTACTTCCTCCCAAGAGGGGCTAAATATAAATGACCCAGCTCCAACCAGTATATAAAAATCAAGAGATAGATGCCAAACACTGAGCTCAGCTTTTTCCACCACACTTAAAAAAACAACCTCTAGGCTGATTTATCTTTCCTTTCTATTTTTTTGAAAGCTTCCTTTTCAATTTGAAGTTTACTTTCATTTTCTTTTCAGTTTTTTTGTCTTCTCTTCAGCTTTTCAAGCTAAACTAGCCTTACTCTATGGTTCATTTTCTAAAGAAGAATTTTGCCTTTTGCTTGAAGACCAGAAAGACCAGAACAGCTCAGAATATCTGAAAGTGTAGTCCTCTGTTCATTCAACATGTGTAAAATCAAACTAAAAAACAGTACATGCAAAATAAACAAATCTCCAAAGTACATCGTTCATCACTAATTACTGCTTTCTCTTAGTTACACTAGATTAACTCAAATGAAAACAACTCTACATACAAGAACGATGCTCTTAAATTCTCATACTGGAAGAATTACCGTTGTGTGATCACCACACAAGCACAAACCCTTTCATTTTCATCTTGCTGAGAATATATATTTGCCACTTAAAGAAAGCACTGCTAAACAAGTGACTAATCCTTTCTCAGTTCAATTTTTTCTCTTTCTATGGTTTCGCTGCACAATGTAGCAGATGAAGAAACTGGGTGTTAAATGAGGATATCTGCTATAAAAGCAAAGGGAACACTAAAATAAATGGCCCTGAAAAAATGTTTCCTTTATAAAAGTGCTTAGATATTAGTTTCCTTTCTATGTGAAAATTCCTTTTTAAAGTGGACAAAAATACACATTTAGGATTCTTTACAAATAAACAAAGACAGAGATGGGAAAATAGACCTGTAATCTTGAAAATTTCAGCTCTGATGCCGTTACACTAAACAATATTCTGATTTGCTCTTGTATATAGCTTTTGTATCTAATTTTCTTCCCAAAATTTATTACAACATTATTAGCAGGATGCTGTAATAAAGCTACTTACCACAATAAATACAAGCAAACATACCTTAAAATTTACTTTGGTTGGCATTCAATTCTGTATTCATCCATAGCTAGTACATTAGTCACTCTGTGGTTATAGTCACTTAAATGATATATAATAATTTGTTGACATTATGATGATAAAATTAAACTACATTTAAGCCTGTATTAAAAAACCACTCATGGGACTGTTAAAGGACAGTTCTTTTAATAAAGATGCAGAACATTTCATTTGAACGCTGAAGGGTGCCTCATAAAAGCTGAAATAATACGATATTTAGTTGATATCAAAAATCTTAATATTTAATATTTTAAAGTTCAAATATTTAACTATTTAAAAGAATAGTTGAACTACATGTATGTAATGTACCCAATGTATAGAACACTATTAATAGTCAAAATCTTAACAGGCGTGAAAGTCACCCAAAGCAGAAATGTAAACTTTATTATATTAATTGCCTTCTGGTGCTTCACTATAAGTACATAACAATATATAAATACGCAGAGTTCAGAAGCAGATTCTGAACACCTTAACATAGCAGAGGCATCTCACAATAGACCTGGACCAAGATGGCCAGTGGCCACCTCTTCTGATTCAAAGCTCTGTGCCTTGTCGTAGACTGTTCTTATCTGATCACTGATACAATTTAGAACAAGGTGTAAATTATTCTGCTCCTCAAAATAACCAGAAGTACTTGTCTTGTCAGTTAGAAATAGCTGGAGTGAAGAGGTGCTCCTATCACGCACTCCTGTGCTGGCCAGACATGATTACAGCAGAGGTGAAGGGGTGTGGAGCTGACATCACTCCTACAAAAAGGCAACTGCGAGGTGTATGAGCAAAACATCTTCCTGGTTTCCACACAGAACAGCTGACATATGGTGTATATAGAATATGTCTTATGGGCAAATAATTTTAATGCAATTAAATCCATTCAGAGATTACTGCAGTGTCTAGGACAGCCTCTGGGAAATCTCAGGTTACGGTGAATTGGTATTTGCTATTTGACCAGTGCAGATAATTTAACAAAATAATTTTTTGAATGACTTTTGTTGGCTGTTTACAGTCAACAGTTGTTTAATAAAGACTTTTCACATTATTTCATTTAAAAACCTTGATATCATGACATCATTGAATGTCATGAGATGTCTGTGCAAGATGTGGGTTACAATTCTAGGAATTTACTTTGGTTTTTTTTATATATCTGAAACTAGCAAAGTTGTTAATCTGCAATAGTACTTCTCTTTCAAATTCAAACTTAATATTGAACATTTCCAGTAGAAACTTCAACATGTATTGCTTAAACACACATGCATACACACAGCCTAGACATCTGTTTGTCATATCTGCCATCTTTTTCTGTTACAGTGTTATTTGCCAGAACTTTTGAGAAGTCTAGTTTAATTGCCTGCCAATTTAGACCACAAATACAAATGTAAATAAACAAAGTTATACTGACTCTGTATTGTGCTCACTGGTAAGATTATAGGGTTTAATTCTGGCAGAATGTAATCTTGTCTTTTTAGAAACCACAATTTAGCATGTTTCTTAAAACTTTCACTAGTTGCTGTGGACTGCTTTGATAAATAGTATTATATACCAATGACTCAAACTCCATCTGTTTGGCTAAAATAATTGTACATTTTAGTTTCTAAGATTCTAAACCCTCAGTTTTGAATGCCAGAGATGAAGTCTATAGGTTTTCAAATGAAAAGGGCAAATGGAAATCTAGTGGCAGTTAAAGAATACGCACTAGTCCTCTGTTTTTAGTAAGAGAAAGAGAATAACTTGTAAAAAGTTCCTCAAAAAGACAAATGGACATAAAAGATGTGCAGCAGCACCTCTGTCAGTGGCTGCGGAGCAGACTGAGTATGGAGGACAGCTTCATGTTGTCCACATAATAGTACGGAAGTTCAGTCACATAATTATGCTTTTTTAAGAAAAGTCAACTTATTTTTTGCTGTGAGAGAAGCTGGCTGCTGTTCTCATTTTACATAGCTCAATAGAGTCAATAAGAATCACTTAATTGCTTGAAGCTGCCTTCAAGTAAAGGCTTGGTGCAGAAAAGTAACACTATTGTACCTTCCACTCAGTAGCTGTAGAAGTTAAAGTGTCAACTAGGAAACATGACAGAGATAAAATATATGAAAGACATATAAAAGCTGTAGATTCACCTATGCCAATCGACTAGTCTTCTCTCTTTGTCAGTGCAGACTTCCTCTGTGGAACATATGATAAATGTACAGTATTTCCCTCAGAGTTAACTGCACTGTTTCATAGAACACTCTCAGTTTTTTATTTCTTATATTAATCCCATCCTCTTCATTACATACCCTTGAATCATTCACAGAAACTACATGAGCTCCACTCTAGGTCTGTATAGTTTCCACATACCTACTGCTGCAAGTATAACCACATTCAAAATAGAAGACTGCTCAACTGAATATTTAGTCTCTAATCCACACTTTGCTAAACACACACCCAGCTAATGAAATGTAAGAACATATCTGACAATTCTCAATCCTTACGACAAGGTGATGCTCCCTTTAGATTTTCCTGCTTTGTTCTGGGTTTCTGGTACATATGAAAGACAATGATAGCAGAATCCAGAAAAATCATCATAGTTTTCAAAGTTTCTGTAGTCCCAAACTAAAACAGTAACTTTTTAAACAGTGCTGGTCTGTACCAGATGACAAATAAAACAAGCCTTAAGACCTGCCAGCCAAATTTGCCAGGAGAAAAGCTAATAGTAGAGAACAACTGATCTCCTAGAACCTGTCACGCCATTCTGAGGAATAAGTGATTATGAAATAAGGAATGTAATAGGGATCCAGCCAGATGAACCACGAAGACCAGAAAGAGCTAAGTATCAAACTGCAATAGGAAGTTCTCATCATCTGTATATACTTACAGGCTATAAGTGGCTTTGCTTTGCTTCTTTCTAGAAGACAATTTTGGCATATGTATTGGGTTTGTGTGGCAAGGTTTTGGTAGTGGGGGGGCTAAAGGGGTGGCTTCTGTGAGAAGCTGCCAGAAGCTTCCCCCATGTCCAATAGAGCC